TTCCTGCTGGAAGTGCAATATGTTGCAGTGTATTGCCTTATGAGGATGCAGTAACAAGTATTTATAGAATTTGCTTGGAAAAGTCAGTTTTCATGAAGCACTACCCACCTGACTGGGAGACTGAAAGTTTCGGCGGTGCTACACAGCATTGCTGAGCAATTTTTGATAGAGTTAATGGACAATATAATTTCCCAGGGTGGTTTGGTTTTGGGTTGGATACAGGCTTGGTATGGGGGAAGTGGGGAGTGCTGAGCCCTTTCCCTCTTCACCGTCTCATTTCCACCCTGTGTGAGGGAATATGGGGGTGTGGATGGGGTCCTTGGCACTGCACAGCTCTGGGTGCACTGAGCTTCTGGAGCCGTGCCAGAGAAATGGGACAGGGAAGTGAAGCCTTATCTGTTCCCTCCTTCCTTGATAAATCCACACCTTGTTCTGGACTATTTTTAGGGGTGATTTTTTGAGTCATTAGTTGCTCATGCACCATCTGCTTGAATTTGCAAATGAAACAATACCTCAAAGAGATAGGAGCTGTCTCTATCCATCTCTACAGGGTGTAATTTATGAAACCTAAATTTAAATGTTAACCATGTTTGAATGTGCTACTGTAGATCATATTAGTAGTAACACCAGCTATTCTGGGGTTATGGAAGGAGGTTGTCTTGGGGTGGAGTTTGTAAGTACTCCCACTTCTCAATTTCCTGGTTAACATCATTCTCTCAGATGATAGCGTTATAAATTATTTCAGACAAGTTCTTTCTGTCTCTATTTAAAAGCAGTATGACCTCACCACAGCATCAATTTGGCTTAGTTCATCCTGCATTTCAAAGCTTCACAAAACATGCTTCCTAGAAGAAAAGAAGATCCTGGGGCTCACAAGTGTTTTCGGTTTCAGGAATTGGACACAGCATGACTGAAACTGTAAGAGGTATTGAGGGCATGCCATGCAGACAGGGAGCTGGAATAACACAAGCCTCAGATTTTTAAGCTTTATACTTATCTGAGAGCCCTCCCCTAATGACTGGTGCTGTCTGAGTGCAAACCAGAGGAGTTTGATAACACCAATGCACCAAACACCTGCCAAGTCAAAATCCCAGAAACAAAAGAATTAGTTTCAAAAGCCCACCATGGTTTCTAAGCAACGTATTTACTTGTCACATCATTTGTAAAATCCAAACGCTTGCAAGTAAGGATATGAATAGTTTAGAACATTGTAAATCTCACACTACACATATTATGAGCCACATTTCATTAAATATAAAAACACACATTTCAAAAATTCATAACCTTCACTTTGACTCATAGTTTGCATGTTTTGTTTGTGTTTTAAATGTAGTGTTAGTAGTTTCATGAACTGTTTTTCTTCTGTGAATGAGTGATTGTTTTGATATATTTGCTGCTTTTCTCAGCTTTTGAACACACGTGATTACTATTTGAGCTTATTTTAATGGGAGGAAAAACAATTTTCTAGACCTCATTATTACTGAGAAAAAACTTGAAAATATGATCACGGCAGTGATTTCACCTCCCCAGTCCCTGGGGAGGGTGGGTTTTGTGGAGGAGCTACATAGTGTAGCTGTGACATCCCACCTCCTTGAGAAGCCTTTCTCCTCAAGACTCTCTATCTCATTACTGACTGGGCAGAGACAAGAGCCAGTAAAGAAGTGATGATATGAAAGACCCTGCTTGGAGTCAAGCCAAAAAGCATGCTTCACAAGAAGTCCCTGGCAAGGACAACATAAAAGGTTTAAAGGAGGATGGTTGAGGCACCATGTGACAATCTGGCACGACAGCAAGCTGAAGGGAAACAGCTTGGACAACAGGAGGATGATACCCAAACAAATGGTTTCATGGAGAGTGGTTGGGAAGCCTTAGGGAAACATTTGACTTTTCCCAGAAGGAAGCTGCAGGGGTGTCAGCTCAGGGCAGTAGCCTGCTGGGGCTGCGGATGTGAGAGGCATGGCTATGAGGGTTGGCCATTCCCGGCAAGTGGAGGTGTTACTGCAGAATACCAGCCAGAAAGTGTCATGACCAGAAGTCCTCATAGTTCTGCCTGCCAAGAGGGATGTCAGCTCCATCAGGAGATGGGAAAGGATCATCTCTCATGGCTGTCACATGGGGAACTGCAGCTTAGGAGCCCTTGTCACAGAAAGTCATTACCAAGAAGAGCCTGGAGGTAGAGGGTAGCGTGCAAAGGCTGCATCAGGGGTCTCAAAACTGGCAAGTAAAATGCGCGTCATTCTGGACTGCCAGACTTCTTTGCAATAAATGTAAAGCTACTAAACTGCTGATGATTCAAGTCTGGATGCTTTGATGTGGGTGATTTTTGTACTTGATTTAGAACTGAACATGCCTGTTAATGCCAAGTACATAGGTGTAAGAAAGGAGATACTCATTTTGGGAGTAGGGAAGATGCTATATGAACTTTCAAGGATTGTTTGAGGGTGAGCACAGCAGCATGGGTGCAGCTCTTCCTGGCTATTATTGCTCCTGGCTGTGTAAGAATTAAACCAACTCTGGATCATGCCAGCTTAGAAGATGAAGACTGAATGGAGTGACTGATGTCCCAAAAGAATTGTTTCAAGTTGCAGCTTGCAGAAATATGGCCAATTGTAAATATACACCAGGACCCTCAACCAGCAGGTTTGGCACCCTGAGTTTATTGAAAGTCTCTGGTGTGTGATTGATAGATTAGTCTGTCAGAGACCAGGTTTCCTGCAGATTTCTGGCTGAACATAGGCTCTTTTCTGCCTGGTTGGCAGAAAGCTCCAGAGCACTGCAGTAAAACTCTCAAAACCTGTGTTGATTGGAAAATATCACTCTTACCCTTGGGCACCTTCAGTCCTGTCCAGATCTGGACTGCCACTGAACCCTGAAGAGAATAAGTCTCTGCAGATTATGTTGCCTGGGCAAAAAGCATTTTGAAAATCAGGAAATTCAGTGGCAGAAGTTGGGTCAGAGTTGATCCACAATCTAGAGTATCAGCACTGAGTATAAACTCTGTCAAGAATACTTCTTGTTGCCAAATGATCAGAGCCTCTCACCAACATTTATCCTCACCGGGCTTCTGTGATGCCGGAAAGCACTTACAATTGCACACTAAAGATGGGAATCCAAGGCCCAGAGGGATTAAGAGCAATCCTGCCCTGTGAAAAGGCTGTGATGCTGAGACATGAGTTTATGGTAGATCTGAAAGGTAGCACAGTGCAGTGCTGCACCTAACTCAGCTATTCCTACAGCAAGACTGCACTGTCTGAAGGTATCAGCCAAAGTCTGCACAACCTCAGAGGTCTCTGCACTCGACTAAGGTGGACATTGCCAAAGCTTTTCTATGGACTCACAGAAAAACTATGGCAGACATGAGATTTGGACCCTTTACTGTTGTATTTCCACCTGGTAGTGGAAGCAACAAGTGCTCTCAGCCTTGCATCAACAAAGAAGATGTAAGTCTTAAAAATGCTTAGAAAGTCTGTGAGTTCCATACACTGGGACTGTGGGG